TTTTTTTGATGAAAGACGAAACTAGGTTTCGACTTTCGTCAATGACGAAACCCTTAGGTTTCGTCTAACAACATTAGTTATAAGTCACCGTTTTGAGTCAAACGGGGAGCTAAAACCGTGACAGGATCGTAATTGAAGCACCAACCACAGTCAGATGACGTATTAACAAGAACCAACTTTAGGATTAGAATACTACCGATTGCTAAAGACACTTTCAGTAAAATCACAATTGATTGGAAATCACAATTGATTGGAACAAGGATTTTGACATTTAAGGCAATGTTTAATACCCAGCCTGGAGGGTTAAAAATGTGAAGAGGCTTTACGAATATAGAAAGGCCTCAATGTCGGGAGGCTGGTGAAAAAGTACTAAACACTGTCACAACTCGGCGTCTATGCCAATAACGTTAAAAAAATAAAAAAAATAGCACTAAAATCATATCGGTACAAGTGCTAAAAAAAACATCGTCTATATATGAGGATTCAGTAACAGATCTAATCAATTCAAATAGTGAAAACGTACTAAGAAATCAAATAAAAGGCTTATCATATGATAAACGGGTATTCAAAATTACTCCCAAAATCATTAACTACCGAACCAAACACAATCAACACCTTAAAGGTGGCGAATTATTTTATTATAAACAAATATGAATACAGTATTTGCTTTTAGATTTAAGCAAATCGATCTAAATAATGCATCTGTCTTAAGAAGACACGGTGCATTATGGAAGAAGCGTTTGTATCTTAAATTAATAATTATTAATTAGAGATATAAGTAATTACTATAGTAATACTATATATAAATAAAAAACAATTAATACCCATAATATAGAGCAGAAATTGAGAAATTTCAATTTCAGCTCCAGATTATAGGGATTAATGGTTTTTATTATTTAATATCCCCATTTTTAAATATAGAAATTATGTACATCTCTCATGAATTACAAATTAAAAATTAAATTATACTACTTTAGTATTAAGAAATTGCGTCATAACTTATCGCATGATAGGTAAAATATAATGAAGATTTAAATATCTAAATTATTATTTGCAATAGGAAATCTAGGTACAAGAATATTATCAGTTATGAAAATATGATAATTGCTCTAAGTGATTTATTTATTCTAAAAATCTGTATCTCCATTAATAATGAATTTCTCTAATAATTTATTATATCTATATCAGCGATTAAAAAAAGATCACTGTCCCGTTACTTTTCACAAACCTGGTAGTATCGATTAGATAGCTAAAATTAGTGAAACCATTATACACTGTAATTTATACACGCACTGGCGTACTGAATCTGTGACAGGTTATGCCAATCATCGCAATAAAATCACAAGATCTCGCGTAACTTAAAAGTTCGGAAAGCATAATGAAAACAGAAAAATTGCAAATAACTCAAGATTTTAATATTATAACCACGGTTTGACTTCTAAATAAAAGTTTTCAGCACAAAATTTTAGTTATATGTGAACGTTGTTAAATATCAAATATTAAGTAAATTAAAACCTGCGCTAAATAATGATCTTTGTGCTCTTTCGATTTGGTAATCAGCATAACCTGTCACAGATTCAGTACGTGCTACACATAAAAATAATAAACTAAACCAACTAAGCTCAATCAAAATTATCGACTTTACTGGCCTATAGAAATTTTATCAACTACAAACACTACCGCAAAAATATCATTCTTGATAGGTAGGAAAAACCCAATTTACATACTGTTCTTGATAAGGTTCTAAAAAGAGCCTTTAAAATACTATACTACTATATCAAAAGGATATGAATAATTAGATTCAGGAGATGATTTTAGAACCCTATCAATAACAGTACTCAAATTTTTTAACTCTATTAAGAACAGTACTGATGATAATTAAACTCTTTTATATGCGCGCTGAAGGCAAGCACCTAACTAGTAATTTATATATAATTTTTTTTCATCAAACTACAAGTATAGTCAACTCTCTTTAACCTGAACCTCTTTAATCTGAACCTCTCTAATCTAAACCCTATTAAATTCTCTAAGAATCGAATAAATAACTTTATAATATTTGTAGTCGACTGTATATTTTATTTAAAATATCTTGACAAAATATGACCTAGTATAATAACTATATGAAGGCCAATAAATAAATCTATAAAAACAAATAATATAGTAAATTCTAATATTCAAGAAATACAACTAGTAATATTCAATAATAATATTAATTCTCTTTATAAAGAATTACAACAATCTATATATGAACTTATAAAAAGATTAGAATTTCTTTTTTAAAAATTAAAAGAATTTTAAACATCATCATATTTCATCTTTATAAATATAATTAGTATCACTATTAGCAATATTTTTATAGCTTTAATACCTTTTTTACTGTTTTTCTTAAGTCATAATGTTAGATCAGAATTCGTAAACAGCAGAGACCGTTAATGTTACACAAATATTAAAACTGGTGTGGGATTATATCCATCACAATTGAATCCAACATGAATAATTTAACTTGTGATTGATCACAGACGAGAGAGATTCGCTTTGGATCGGGCACTGTTTCTGATGTTGAATTTGTAATCAATTTCGAAAAAATTAGTTAACCCCAAAAATTTTTGCTCGCTTGTCGTTAAGTTTACATGAAACTAGCGAAAATTTATAATTAAACAACACTACGTTTAAAAAAATTTTAAGGCTTGGCTATTTAAAGGTCATTACATAGAATCCTATTGTTATCTGAATCGATTCGTATGTTTAGTCAAGCATCAGAGGTTTCCTCAAACGTCAAGTTTCTCCATGAGGAAAAAAAATATAAGGAAAAAATGACAAAACCATTCGTTAGCACAAAAATAATTTCGTCAGGCATCATTAACTTCAAGTAAACTGTGAGTTGACTATGAATCTTAAATATTAAGACACAATTGATATTATTATTACTCAATAAGATGCCTTTATTAAAGAAAACAATGTGAAAATCTGTTGTTTATCATTACAGGCTAAATTTTCTATAACTCAACATTAATTTCCTAAAACAATACTATCGGAAATAGTCTGCCATAAACCTGAACTGCATCTATAAGTAACAACCTTATCTAATTACATTATAATGTTTAAGCATATATGGAATGCCACTGAGAAGATATCAATATCGCTACAAAGAGTATCAGTTATACTGTATAGTTATCGAAGACTGCTGCTGCCTAATCTCCACCAAAATAGAATCCTTGCACTGCTACTGCAGCTGCGGAAACTGGCATTACTTGCCACTACATTTTACTCATTAAAAAAAAAATTTGCCAAGCATTAATCTTAATTACCGATTTACTACAAGATGGGCGGGATGAGAGGGACAACAAATCAGTCTTCCCACAAGGCGAGCGATAACAAAAAGAAAGATAATTTCTCTATTAAAAATCAATCCTTAAACACTACATTTACAAAAATGGTCTTTCCTATCTGCCTTTATTGATTTCATATTTTGAATCCATTACCAATTTACTAATACTCATATAAATTCGTCCATTTAAAAATCATATGCGATCATAATTTTAACCAAGAGAAACCTGAGAAATGCAACAGCCATTTAAATCGTATGTCTCAAATAACGCACTGAAAATTTATTTACGATTATACAGCAGTAAAAGTTTATTACTGTTAATTATTACTGTTAATTATTAATCAATTACAGTTGTGAGAAATTTAATATACCGTATATTATTGAACAAAGCACTAAGCGTTGCAAACACAAGATTTTTTTTAGATAAAGGTGAAGAGTCTGTATTCAGCAATTTCTTTAATTAGTAATAATCCACAATTCAACCCCTTCGTTTCAAGAATATGGACAAGTTATTAATTTCTACTTTACAAAATTTTACTTAAACAAAACTAGTTCAAAGTAAACCAAGAATTAAATTTACGTCAGTATGACAAGGACAAGATTAATTATTTATTCATTCTATATATTTACTTTATCAATTGCGCTAATATTATTTAGATCCCTTTAAAGAATATATTCCGGCTTTCGCCAGATTATCGCTCTAATTATCGTTCCGGAAAATGATCATTTTTCGGAGCTAAACATATACAAATTCCTGTCATTTCCACAGAATTTCAGGTGGAAATCAAATCCTGGCAAGATTTGGTTTATAATCTTTTGTGCTTCATTATAATTAGAAGCCGAATATTATCCTGATTTGATGTTTACCCGGAAATTATCAGTTTTATGGGAATAACCAGGAGTTTATATATGTTTTGTTCCAAAAAATGAGCATTTTCCGGAATGATAATGAAACGATAATCTTAAGGGTAGGGTGAACGTAGATCATTTTTCATATGACTTAGATGGTATAATGGATTTTTATATAGTAAATTAAAATGTGTTACTAATAAAACT